ATACAGAAAAATGCAATGGGTGCCCTTTTAATTTAATGTGGCTTGTACATTAGGTTTTTCAGTCCTCCCCTCTGTTAGATAATGTTTTAACTAGCATTTGCAATTGCAGTTTTAATGTTCCAGCAATAGCATCATTTGCATTTTCTGGATGATAAATCTTATGTCATTCAACACTTTACCAAAATCGTTTTTACAAAGATTTTTCCTTCCTCCCTCTAGGTCTCTGTGGAATGTTCTGCTTCCCTTGTTTGGCAGGCCAAGTTGCTACAACTATGAATGAATGTTGTTGTTGCGGAGCATCTGTGGCCATGCGGGCTGTGTACAGGACAAAATACAATATCCCTGTAAGTAGATTATGGCTGGCTGCGGAATTCTGGGAGTTGAAGTCCACAAGTCTTAAGTTGCCAAGTTTGAAGAGCCCTGGATTAGGCAAACTTCGGGTTTCTGCACTCTGGTTCAAACCAAAAAAATTAAACTAGAATGTGCATTTGTTATTTACAGTAGATCATAATCATTCAGAATTATAGGAATAAAAATTAAAATGACAATTGTTGCATGCCAAACATAACTATCACATCTACCTGGCCCACAAGGATGGGAAGGCAGAATATGTTACAAGTCCCCCATCGAATAGGGATTGTCATCTGAGGATGATGAAAAAAGACCTTCTTGGTGGTAGCCCCTCTGTGCCCCCCTACCCTGCTATTTTTCTGAAAGGCCCTAAAAACATGTTTTGTCAGTGGGCCTGAGGACCATAAGTAGAAATGGAGCTGATTTTGTGGTTAATTTGATTGTGTTGCTGCTGCTACTGGCATTGAGCGAAGTGGATTTTTAAAAATAGGTTTTTCTAATGTAATGGATTTCTGTTGTTAAGTGAGACGTTTGTTAAGTGAGTTTTGCCCCATTTTACAACCTTCCTTGCCACAGTTGTTAAGTATATCACTGTGGTTGTTAAGTGACTCTGGCTTCCTCATTGACTTTGCTTGTCAGAAGGTCACAAAAACTGATCACATGATCCCAGGACATTGTAGCCATCATAAATATGAACCAGATGCCAAACATCTGAATTTTGATCACTTGAATCATGGGGATACTACAAAGGTCGTAATTGTGAAAAACGATCTTAAGTCACATTTTTCAGTGCCATTGTAACTTTGGACAATCACTAAACGAACTGTTGTAAGTCAAGGACTACCTGTGTTTTGCCATCCATCCTAGAGCTAGCTTCTCGTAATTCCATATCTCTACATCATGATTTTATTTTAAAAGTTATTGATTCATTTGGTTTCTTTTTTTTTCAACAGGGATCCATCTGTGGGGATACCTGCATTGTGGGGTGTTTCCCCACTTGTTCTCTCTGCCAAGTCCAGAGAGATATCAGAAGAAGGAAACAAATGGGGATATTCTAGAAGACTTCACCCTAAGCTCCTTTGGACCTTTACATTTGTCCTTTTTTAAATTAGAATTCTGAGAAGTAAGAAATAAGTAAAGTAGTTTGTAGGGAGAACCATTATTTAGAGGCACCCTTGCTTTATCATTCTAAGCATATTCTTAATCCAGAAATTAAATTTTAGTACTGATTCAGAGCTCAAAATCCAAGCCTGTTGTTGTTTGTCCTGTCCTTGATCTTTGCTTGATCTCCCAATTTCAGTTACAATGGAAAACAAACCATTTTTGATTGCTGCTGCTATTAAACAATTAGGTTTTTTTTTTTTTTAAAAAAAAAAAAGCCCTGTTAGACCTTTGAAGATTTATCGGGGGATCTACCATTCTGCCTTTCCCATTTTAGGGCTACTGGTGATTTTGGTTTGCAAGATGTAGTCACTGGAGAAAACAAGGTAAAATTGCAGTCTAGAGCCATTGGCATAACTAGCCTACCTGGAAGTGCTTGCTGTCCAGATATGGGCGGCTAGAACTATCATGATTCCTAGCCATCGCGGCTTTGATTTAAAGGAGATATAAAACAACATATATGGAGAGAACCATCTTAAGAAAAACTAGTGTAAGTGACTTTTAGCTAATAAACGGTGTTGTTCTTACTCTCCGAGCTAATGGTACAACCTTTCTTAATGCTGCTGTGGGAAACTGCCAGTCAAGCTGGTGGGAGGAGTCAAGTGAGGACCTAGCTTGGAATCCTTGAGCAGCGGCAAGCGCATAAGCTTGACCTCCCCAAGATCCATGAAGCCTTAGCTGGCTATTCCCAGGAGAACACAAGCAGTTTGGTAGGATTCTTTGTAACGTAGGAGATAGACGATAAAATTACTTCCTTCCGTTATTCATTAGAGGTTCCCGTTGGTTACCACCTGACAGCTGGTAGTCTCTGTTCCTTTCCACCACTATGATGGAGTTTCTCCTCTCTCAGACTGTCATATCACATAGTTAAATTAAAGCCCTTTTATTTGAAATTCTTCTCAGGACAATGTTTTCTATACCTCCATTTATCAACATCCAACACTGAAGTGGTAGGTGGATGTTAGAATCATATGATTCATGAGGTGTCCTCCAAAAACAGATATGAACATAGACTGTGCACTCTCTTGAAGTGCTCCGATTGCTCTTCTATGCTTCGTCTAAGATATATATTCACTGTTTCTATGCTCCTCTTATGGTGGGTAAAGGAACAATATTACCATCCCAGGAAATAGCATTTCCAGCTGTGATCCAGCATTACAACTGTTTAATCATCCTGTGTCTCTTGTAGTTGACATTGTTACACTAAAGGATTGTTTTGGCCCAATAATTTAGTCTTAGCCTTTTGCTTAATGGCTGGGCCAAATATAGTAGGGCAATCAGATCAAGGATCAAATCTGTTGCTGAATTAGAACTCCCAACATTCCTCAATCTTGGCCATGCCGACTGACCTGCTGAGAGTTTATTTATTTGTTCAATTTATATACCCTTCCATCTCTGGGCAGGTCACACAATTAAAAATAGCCAACAAACCCAAAACAGATGCAAATAAGTAACCCAAAACAATAACAAAAATCATTAAAAGCAAATTAAAGCTATTAATATTGATCCAACAACAATGGTAAAGTGATAGATTCCTTATTTTGCATATTGGGAACTTTTAAGCTGACATGATATTATTGAAAATTCTAAGAGATTTTGAAGATCCATGTGTAATTATTTTGTACAATAAGTATTCAACTTTTAAAGAGAGGTGTGCTAACAAAAAAAAAATGAAGCAATGAAGGTTATTCCCGCTGATGATAGTATATAGTAGTATTTCCCAGTCATGGAATTCCCAAGAGTGTGGACTTCAACCCCCAGAATTCTCATCACAAGCTGTATTGGCTGTGGAATTCTGGATATGAAATTTAGACATCTGGAACTTGCAGGTGGTATTACAGCAAATCATTGGGTAGACACTACTGTCCCCTTATGGTGAGACCAGGACCCACAAACCTGGTGTTTTTAAATGCTGATTTTTAAAAACAATATAAAATACTGGCCTGGTTCATAAATACATTAATGAGCCTTCTTGATTTTGGTTTAGAACAGCATTTCCAATTTTGGTAACTTTAAGATGTGTGGACTTCAACTCCCAGAATGTTGGCTGGGGAATTCTGGGAGTTGAAGTCCTCATAGCCTAAAGTTGTCATTGAGAAGCATTGATCTAGCTATTCCAGTCCTGTTTTTCACTGGAGGGTTCCCATCCAGTTTCCTAACCTGAATTTGTTTTTAGCTTCCAAGTAAAGACAAGATCAACCAGACATCAGCTAACTATCTACGACAGGGATCTTCAAAGTTGGCCCTTTTATGACTTGTGTACTTCAACTCCCAGAATTCCTCAGCAAGAATGACTGGCTGAGGAATTCTGGGAGTTGAAGTCCACAAGTCATAAAAGGGCCAAGTTTGAAGACCCCTGATCTACAACAAGGGTGGGGAATGATGAGCCTTGTGTTGTGTTGTGTTGTGACAGCTAATTGTCACAACACAACACAATTGTCCCAGAAGTTGACAATTGTGTTGTGTTGTGACAATTAGCTGTGACAATTGTGACAATTAGCCGTGTCACTATCCACCTCAAGAATCCAAATAAAATTCCAGGTTCATTCCATTCCCCCAAATCTTACTGTTTATTGAATACACTGCATGGTTCTGTGGAAGCAAAACTAACTCTGGGGTTCCAACATCAATTCATAAACTTAAACAATAATTTTCCCAGCCAAAACCCCAACATCTTATGTGATTCATATCAACAACATCTCCTCGTCCCTCTCCTTAATCTAAAGGCAATATGAAACACAGAGACATGTAGCTGCCAAAGTTTCATCCTTGACAAGTTGTTTACAGTGGTGGGACTCAAATATGTGAACAACCGGTTTTCTGTGTGGATGCCACTTCCGGAAGTCTGGGCCTGGGCAACAAAAAATTAGCTACCGGTTCTGCCAAACTGGTGTGAACTGGCTGAATCCAACCACTGGTGGTTTAACGGAGTAATAGCACGAGGGGGGGGGACTTTGGGTCTGATTGTTTTGGCGTGCATACAAAACCAATCTAATCTAATTTATGTTTTTGATAGAGGTCAATTTAATTGTCTATGTTCTGTCCCAGCCTACGTGAGTCCTTGTTATGCTCACAAGATGAAACCCCTCTTCTAAGAAACAAGCAGGAACCGCAAGAAAAAACCAACCCCTTTTATTCTCACAGACCTGAGTCAATGTCCAAGGAAACAAACACAGTCCACAGAAACTCGATCTTCAACACAAACGGTTGCCTTTGGCAACCAGCACCTCCCACACCTTTCCTTTTATACTTCAGCCAAGGCCTGGATTCCTAATGCCTTCTCCTTTGCCTTTGGAGTGGCCCCATTGCATTCCTCTGTCCTGCTCGCTTCTCTTACCTGCTCTTTTGTGCATCCTGGATTTGTCCCAACTGTTCTTCATCACTGTCCAACTCAGGCTCCCAGCACAGCTGTGTCTCAGCCTGAGCGCAAGTAGAGGGGCCAGGCTCCTCATCCGACTGTAAGTCTTGGAGCTCCTCAGAGCCTTCCTCTGACTCTAATGTCACTCCAGGCCCCTCCTCCTCCTCTGATTCTTCAGACTCAGTTGCCGGATCCACTGGCTGGCGAGGAATCACAACAGTCTAGACTAGAGGATGTGGTAGATGCAGTGTCCTTGACTCCAGCAAAATGCTTTACAGAGTTCTCATGAGATTCTAGTAAACTATTAGATGGCTACAGGGTCTGTTGAACAATCTCACCCAGTGAGTGTGGTCGTGCCTCAAGCTGGAAAGAAATGTTGAGCAGCACACCACAGATCTCAGCTGAAAGACAGGTTCAATATATATTTAAATGAGATTGAAAAGAGATTAGAAAATGCAATGATTTGGTAGTTTTGCAAATGGCACACAGTAGCAAGCAAGTGCCTAGGAAGAATGGCATCAAAATGAATAATAATAAATAAACACTTGTCCTATTTTCAGATAGGAAACATCAAAGGTATAATCAAAAGTAGGAAGACTATACTTGATAGTGGTATATATAAAAACTCTGGCTATCTTGATGGACCAAAAACTGATCACAAACCAAAACTGTGATGCAGCTGCAACTATTGAATCTCAGTTGCATCAATGGAAATGTGGAGTTAAGATCAAGATAAACAAGTTCTTCTCTAGTCTGACCTGATCAGGCAACACTAAGAATACAGGTAGTCCTCGACTTACAACAGTTCATTTAGTGACCATTCAAAGTTATAACGGCACTGAAAAACTGATATGATCATTTTTCACACTTAACGACTGTGGCAGCATTCCCCACGGTCACGGGATCAAAATTCAAATGCTTGGCAACTGACTCGTATTTATGACGGTTGCAGCATCCCCAGGGTCACGTGATCCCTTTTTGCGACCTTCTGATAAGTAAAGTCAACGAGGAAGCCAGATTCACTTAACAGCCATGTTACTAACTTAACACCTGCAGTGATTCACTTAACAACTGTGCCAAGAAAGGTTGTAAAATGGGACAAAACTCACTTAACAAATGACTCACTTAGCAACAGAAATTTGGGGCTCAGTTGTGGTCATAATTTGAGGACTACCTTTATTGCATCGGGCTCCCTGTAGTGCAATCAAGAAGGATATTGACCAACTGGAAAGTGTCCGGAAGTTACACGAGATGAGATGAGATGAGATGAGATGAGATGAGATGAGAAGGGGCCAGGAAAGTAAAATCTTATAAGAAATATGAATGGGAGACTGTGAGTTCAAATTCCACTGAGCTATGAAAGCCAGCTGGGTGACTTGGACCAGTCTCTCTCTCTCTCTTAGCCCAATCCACCTTACAGGGTTGTTGTAATGGGGCAAATAGGAGAAGGGATGTGTGTTGGATATGTTTGCTACCTTGAATTATTTGTAAAAATAATAAAAAAACAGGATACAAATAAAATAAAATAAAATGGTCAGAGGGGTAGGACTAGTGAGGGATCTGTTATTTGACTCCCAGCATCTGAAACAGAAAAAAAGGCAAAACTATCAGAATTGTTTCTAAAGATGAGACAAGGAACAATCAATTTAAAGTTAATTTCTAAGCATTTCCAATCCATACATCTCACGATTTCATTTAAACCAAGTTTCGTTTCTTCTCCTACCATTTCTTTCAGGGTTTTTTTTTTTAATCCACCTGGCTGAAAGAAAAGTTACTTCCTTGTTTTTTTAAAAAATATCTAGCAAATAGTTTCCTAGAGTAATTCCCTTTCAGTTTTAAAACACAAAAGCAGAAGTCAGCCAGTGGGCAGAGTTTACTACCTCTAGGCAACGAGAGTCGAAAATAAGGAGAAAAGAAGAAGGGGGAAAAAAAGGTTTGAATTCTTGCTTTGCGTTAATCATTCTGCCTTTTATATTTATTCGCTTTTGCAAGTTTTTCAAGTTTTTATTTACCTGGATCTAATCTGGTTGTTGAAAGACCCCTTTGTGACATTCCGTATTACATTACAGAATGTGAATCCTCATTTTTTTAAAATTTGGGAGGCAATAAAAGTGGATGCCTAAAGTAACACAGATATAAAGATGATCATTTTTGCAGAGGAAAGCTAAGAAGTGACTAGGATAAATTGTTTCATTTCTAATTCCCCCTTTACATATTCCCAGTGCCTAAGTTTTGAAATGCTTCTTTTTATTTATTGAATATTTATCCTGTCTATTTAAATATCTATACTGCATTTAAAGGGGAGAAACAAAAAGAAAACCCAGTTTGTCTATGGCCATATTGCTACTTGCAATATAGCTGGTAAGACGCTCTGTAGATATTAAACATACGAAGAACGGCTGGTTGTTCGTATGTTGGCTAGTCTAAAGGAAAGAAGAACTAGGGGTGACATGATAGCAGTATTCAAGTATTTGAGGGGCTGCCACAAAGAAGAGGGGGTCAAATTATTCTCCAAAGCACCAGAAGGGAAAACAAGAAACAACGGATGGAAACTAATCAAGGAGAAAAGCAACTTGAAATTAAGAAGAAACTTCCTCACAGTGAGGACAATTAACCAGTGGAACAGAAATTGCCTTCAGAAATCGTGGGTGCTCCATCACTGGAGATTTTTAAGAAGAGACTGTACAGTCACTTGTCTGAAATGATATAGGCTCTCCTGCTTGAGCAGGGGGCTGGACTAGAAGATCTCCAATGTCCCTTCCAGCTCCATTCTATTCTAAATGATGCTTCCCTCCCTTACAGTTGTCCCTGTAAGACTACTTGTTAATAGCCCAGCATGATGGGCTATCAAAGCAAAAACAGAGCATCTCTACTGATATTTATTTTGGCACTGAACAGTATTTTAATGAAGGTATGTTCAGGCAGCCTTTGGTCTGTACTTAGTTATGGGATCGTCATTTATAAAATGGAGTTTCTATTGTTTCTAAAGTAAAAGCTTAACACCTGTGCTAAAATGGAGAGATTCTAAACTGTTAGATAGAGAACATCTAATTGTCAGTTGACACTGTAAGTAGAGGAAACACAAAGATAAAATGGAGCTTATGCTAGTTGTCGCTAAAGGGTTAGATGCAAGGGGGCTTCTTGGAAAGGAGATAGCAGGTACCCTATAAGGTAGATGTTTTTGATAGGATGCTCTGTCAAAAAAAGGAGGGTGAATTTGTGTAAGGGAATAAAAACCTGATGTACGATTCATTCTAGGTCCACCTTATGTACACCTGTGTTTGCAAATACATGAATAAATTCTCTGCTACTTTCGAGTTATTGTCTCGAGTAGTTCCATCTGTGAACTCGTACTGTTTCCAACAGGATCTGTTCTGTCCCAGTCTACGTGAGTCCTTGTTATGCTCAAAAGGAGAAACCCCTCTTCTAAGAAACAGGCAGGAACCACAAGAAAAAAACAACCCCTTTTATTCTCACAGACCTGAGTCAATGTCCAAGGCAAACAAGCACAGTCCACAGAAACTTGATCCTCAACATGAACAGTTGCCTTTGGCAACTGGCACCTCCCACACCTTCCCTTTTATAATTCAGCCAAGGCATGGCTTCCTAATGCCTTCTCCTTTGCCTTTGGAGCCGCCCCATTGCATTCCTCTGTCCTACTCGCTTCTCTTGCCTGTGCTTTCATGCATCCTGGATTTGTCCCAACTGTTCTTCATCACTGTCCAACTCAGGCTCCCAGCACAGCTGTGTCTCAGCCTGAGCGCAAGTAGAGGGACCAGGCTCCTCATCCGACTGTAAGTCTTGGAGCTTCTCAGAGCCTTACTCTACTCTAATGTCACTCCAGGCCTCTCCTCCTAATTTGGTTCTTCAGACTCAACTGCCAGATCCACTAGCTGGCGAGGAATCACAACAGTCTAGAGCAGGGCTTTTCAACCTTTTCACAGATTGTACCACTTTTAGGATATGACAATATTTGAGTACCACCAGTGCTTAACAAGGTGTCAAAAACTTGATAACTAAAAAAAGGGGGGGGGGATTTTGGGTTTTACTGTTTAGATTCATTTGTTGTTATAGAAATGGCTAGTTTATAATATTATGGAAAAGTAAAAAGTTGGGGTTCAATGTTAATGCTTCCTTCTATCAGCAATAGGAAAGAGGATTGGCCACTGAATTTACTTTTAGAAAGTGAGATAAGCCAATGGTTTGCCAGCAGCCACGCAGTTTCAAGATCAGAAAGCACAGGGACTAGAACAGGGATCTTCAAACTTGGTCCTTTTATGACTCATGGACTTCAACTCCCAGAATTCCTCAGCCAGGCTGAGGAATTCTGGGAGTTGAAGTCCACAAGTCATAAAAGGGCCCAGTTTGAAGACCCCTGGACTAGAAGGAAGGGAGGAAGAAGCAATTGGCTGAGTGCAGAGGGAACCACTCTTTCAAAATACTTATCTGGCAGGGGAGATACCTTGATCACGAAGGAGGTTTTCCCAAGTTGAAGCTCATCCATTGCACTACAGGTCTGCTGACCCCTGCGATTTCCCCAAATGCGGGAAACTCGACTGCATAATTTGTGGTAATGGAGGATTGGGTTTGCGCTTTCCCCTGAAAAAGAATAGAATCAAGATCACGTGAAGTATTAATACCACTTTACAATGCCTTGGTAAGGCCACACTTGGAATACTGCATCCAGTTTTGGTCACCACGATGTAAAAAAGATGTTGAGACTTTAAAAAGAATACAGAGAAGAGCAACAAAGATGATTAGGGGACTGGAGGCTAAAGCATATAAGGAACGGTTACTGGAATTGAGTATGTCTAGTTTAATGAAGAGAAGGACGAGGGGGGACATGATAGCTGTGTTCCAATATCTCAGGAGCTGCCCCAAAGAAGAGGGAGTCAAGCTATTCTCCAAAGCACCTGAAGGCAGGACAAGAGGCAACGGATGGAAACTAATCAAGGAGAGAAGCAACCTAGGAGAAACTTCCTGACAGTTAGAACAATTAACCAGTGGAACAACCTGCCTCCAGAAGTGGTGAATGCTCCAACAGTGGAGGTTTTTAATAAGAGACTGGACAGCCATTTGTCTGAAATGGTATAGGGTTTCCTATACCATGGACTAGATGACTTCCAAGGTCCCTTCCAACTTATTATTATTTTAATAAATAATAATAATAATAATAATAATAATAATAATAATAATAATTATTATTATTATTATTATTATTATTATTATTATTATTATTATTATTATTATTATTATATGAAAGAGGACAATTGGACATTCAGTATGGCTCTATCCCAGTTTGAAACAAAGATTCTCACAATACCAATTTGTGTATCTGAAAGATTTCATCCAAGAACCAAGTCCAGCAAACAGATTCCATTCTGTGGAGTTGGGACTGAGACCATGTTCTACCAAGCGTGTTAATTAATCTCTTCTCTTTTGGGTTCTCTTCTTTATTTTTCTTAGAATATTGCCCACAATGAATGTTCAGCCAACGGTTGTCATTCAGCCACAGACGGTGGTGGTGGTCCAGCCCCAAACAAACCAATGGCAAACGGACTTATGTGACTGCTGTAGCGAATGTGACATTTGTAAGTGACCAGACCAATAACTGAAAGTGGAATTCTCAAAGCCTTCTTAGAAACTTGGGAAGATTGGGCTGGATATTCTTCCAGACTGGATAGGTTGCAGAAATAAATGATTCGTTATAATCTGAGCAATGGATGTTTCATTGTTGAACAGCCCATTGGATTGGAATTAGGATGGCAAGAGATAAAAAGAGACACAGCTTCTCTTCTATTAAAAATTGTGTAGAAGATGGAACTTTAAAGTTCTACATGTAGGAAATGACAGGCTGAGCCGGAGGGTGGGGTCAGATGTATCACCAGTTTGGAATCACTATGCTCCCACAAGAAATCTAAATCCATCCCCCCATGAATTCTCTTGACTCTTATTTAGCATCAATCTGCCTTGACCATTAGTAGATCAGATTCTTGTGTATAGCATGAAATAAACTCAGTACATTTGAACTCTATCGTGGCACCTGGTTTCTTGCACCTGATGCTACAAAACTGAGGAATTATGCTAAAAGATTTCTTAAGAAAACAATGTGGTGTCCTCTTAGTGTTTTGAATTTTAATTTTCATAATGAGAGGTCCTTGCTGTTTTCCAAGCTTGGTTGTTTTCTTGCAGATGTTTCATTACCCAGATAGGTAATATCATCAATTCTAGGACAGCATCACTGCTAGTACTAAAGATATTATCTAATTGGATAATGAAATATCTACAAGAAAAAAACCAAGCTCAGAAACCACCAGGGACACAACAGTTCAAATGTGAGTTACAAGTATTGTCTTCTATTGGTAATTGTCAGAAACAATCAGATCCACGTGCAAAGAGTTCTATTAACTATTTCATTACTCAAGCCTATAACATAGGACTCTTCTCAGATTGGTGGTTTGCACCTGGCTCAGACTAGATAAGATTAAACTGCATTCAAGGGAGGTCAGACTTCACCCTCTTGTACCCACATAGGGATTCCAGACTAGTTCCCTGTTTGATTCCTCTCCCTGGCTCAGTCAGTCTCTCTTCAACAGTAATTTTCTTAATTCTATTTCATAATAGTTGGGAACATCAGCGTACAGAAAAATGGAATGGGGTGCCCTTTTAATTTAATGCGGCTTGTATATTAGCTTTTTCAGTCCTCCCCTCTGCTAGATAATGTTTTAACTAGTATTTGCAATTGCAGTTTTAATGTTCCAGCAATAGCATCATTTGCATTTTCTGGATGATAAATCTTATGTCATTCAACGCTTTGCCAAAATTGTTTTTACAAAGGCTTTTCCTTCTTCCCTCTAGGTCTCTATGGAATGTTCTGCTTCCATTGTTTGGCATGCCAAGTTGCTGCAAATATGAATGAATGTTGTTGTTGTGGAGCATCTGTGGCCATGCGGGCTGTGTACAGGACAAAATACAATATCCCTGTAAGTAGATTAGGGCTGGCTGTGGAATTCTGGGAGTTGAAGTCCATAAGTCTTAAAGTTGCCAAGTTTGAAGAGCCCTGGATTAGACAAACTTCGGGTTTCTGCACTCTGGTTCAAACCAAAAAAATCAGACTAGAATCTTGAGAAGTACTGATGAAATTGGAGAGAAATACTAGCTCAGAAACAGAATGGGACAACTCCTTGCTGCCCACTCGCTGCGGGATAACTTGTCATGACCAACTCACCATGGGACAACTTGCCATGGGAAATTATGTAAAATAATTTAAAAAATTATTTTAATTTTTGTTATTCACATTTCATTTTGTCCCTCGTTCAGCATCCTTTCTTTAGTGACTCTTTCCATCATTTCTTCCATATTAGTGTCATTCTGGTCCTGTGGCAAGTGGTCCCCTGGCAGGTTGGCTGTGGCAAGTTGTCCCGCAGTGAATTGGCCACAGTGAGTTGGCTGTGGTGACCTGCCCTAGACCCTCTCAGAAAGGCAGTGCATTCACAATCCAGAAATTTATGGGGGGGGGGGCAAACTGACCTGGGAAATGAACAGATAATTCTTTCATTTGTTATCTGCAGTAGATCATAATCTTTCAGAATTATAGGAATAAAAATGACACTTGTTGCACGCCAAACGTAACTATCACATCTACCTGGCCACAAGGATGGGAAAGAAGAATATGTTACAAGTCCCATCGAATAGGGATTGTCATCTGTTGATCATGAAAAAAAGACCTTCTTGGTGGTAGCCCCTCTGTGCCCCCCTACCTTGCTATTTTTCTGAAAGGCCCTAAAAACATGTTTTGTCAGTGGACCTGAGGACCATAAGTAGACATGGAGCTGATTTTGTGGTTAATTTGATTGTGTTGCTGCTGCCACTGGCTTTGGGTGAAGTGGATTTTTTAAAATAGGTTTTTCTAATGTAATGGATTTCTGCTGTTAAGTGAGACGTTTGTTAAGTGAGTTTTGCCCCATTTTACAACCTTCCTTGCCACAGTTGTTAAGTGAATCACTGTGGTTGTTATGTTAGTAACATGGTTGTTAAGTGAATCTGGCTTCCCCATTGACTTTTCTTGTCAGAAGGTTACAAAAACTGATCACATGATCCCAGGACATTGTAGCCATCATAAATATGAACCAGATGCCAAACATTTGAATTTTGATCAAATGAATCATGGGGATACTGCAGTGGTCGTAATTGTGAAAAACCATCTTAAGTCACACTTTTCAGTGCCATTATAACTTTGGACAATCACTAAACGAACTGTTGTAAGTCAAGGACTACCTGTATTTTATCATTCAACCTAGAGATAGCTTCTTGTAATTCCATATCTCTACATCATGATTTTATTGAAAAAGTTATTGATTCATTTGTTTTTTTTTCAACAGGGATCCATCTGTGAGGATACCTGCATTGTGGGGTACTGCTCCCCTTGTTCTCTCTGCCAAATCCAGAGAGATATCAGAAGAAGGAAACAAATGGGGATATTCTAGAAGACTTCACCCTAAGCTCCTTTGGACCTTTACATTTGTCCTTTTTTCAATTAGAATTCTGAGAAGTAAGAAATAAGTAAATAGTGTGTAGGGAGAACCATCATTTAGAGGCACCCTTGCTTTATAATTCTAAGCATATTCTTAACCCAGAAATTAAATTTTAGTACTAATTCAGAGCTCAAAATCCGAGCCTGTTGTTGTTTGTTCTGTCCTTGATCTCCCAATTTCATTTACAATGGAAAACAAAACATTTTTGATTGCTGCTGCTCTTAAACAATTAGGATTTTTTTTTTTTAAGCCCTGCTAGACCTTTGAAAATTTATCGGGGAAATCTACCATTCTGCCTTCCCCGTTTTAGGCTACTGGTGATTTTGGTTTGCAAGATGTAGTAATGGAGAAAGCAAGGTAAAATTGCAATCTAGAGCCATTGGCATAACTAGCCTACCTGGAAGTGCTTGCTGTCCAGATGTGGGGGGCTAGAACTATCATGATTCTCAGCCATCGCGGCTTTGATTTAAAGGAGATATAAAACAACATATATGGAGAGAACCATCTTAAGAAAAACTAGTGTACATGATTGTTTAGCTAGAAAACGGTGTTGTTCTTACTCCCCGAGCTAATGGCACAACCTTTCCTAATGCTGCTGTGGGAAACTGCCAATCAAGCTGGTGGGAGGAGTCAAGTGAGGACCTAGCTTGGAATCCTTGAGCAGCGGCAAGCGCATAAGCTTGACCTCCCCAAGATCCATGAAGCCTTAGCTGGCTATTCCCAGGGGAACACAAGCAGTTTGGTAAAAATTTTTGTAACGTAGGAGATAGACGATAAAGTTACTTCCTTCCGTTATTCATTCGTGGTTCCCGTTGGTTACCACCTGACAGCTGGTAGTCTCTGTTCCTTTCCACCACTATGATGGAGTTTCACCTCTCTCAGACTGTCATATCACATGTTAAATTAAAGCCTTTTTATTTGAAATTCTTCTCAGGACAATGTTTTCTATACCTCCATTTATGAACATCCAACACTGAAGTGGTAGGTGGATGTTAGAATCATATGATTCATGAGGTGTCCTCCAAAAACAGATATGAACATAGAGTGTGCACTCTCTTGAAGTCACCCAATGCTATCATTAAAGAGAGACTGTAGGTGTGGGAGTTACTTTGGAAGCTAGAGTTTCTTAAGGCAGAAATGTCTATGGAGATTCTCAGTCATCCAGATCAGTGGTTCTTAACCTGGGTGATATTGCCCCCCAGGGGGCGATTTCATTTTTCAAGGGGGCGAAGGAACGAAAAGGGGGCGATGGAGCGAGAAGTTTTGGGGACACTTTTGAGACTTTTTCGTACAGTGAATCGCTGTATATCTGTTGTACAAAAACATCAGATCGCTCGCTATTAGTGAATTGAATTGTGTTTTCAAATGTTCTTCCAGCTAGCTTCAGTACAGAACACCGTACATATGTGAAGACGCATCACTTATCTTCATGCGCGTTGCGCAGCAGCCTGTACCCATACAGTGGCGCGCCATTGGCCAGAATATGGGAGATATGAGGAAAAGACTGGAAATAAATTATTTGCATCGATATGTCCTGATGGACAATTTTTAAAAAAACTAAAAAAGTGTTTGCATAAATTGAAGAAGTATTTCCTATGTTGTGATTGAGAGGTTATGTTGGGGGAGGGGGGCGATGACAACTTCCTCGTTGGCTCAAGGAGGCGATTCATTCAAAAAGGTTAAGAACCACTGATCCAGACCATGGTTGTCCCAAAGAAGCATTTTTCAAAAGGCACCTGGAAAAACAAAGTCCAGCTGCCTTTTGAAAAAGCACCTTTGGGTTGGGACAGAAATCTCAATTATGTCAAGAAACAACTGACTTGTTTTGCCATTTTCTCTCCCTACTAATTTGACTTTGTAAGCTTGATTGTCTAAAGTCTATCAATAACATAATCTGACTTTAGTCAGGATCTTTATATGCCTAATACAGTGGTGGCGAACCTATGGCACACGTGCCAAAGGCGGCACTCAGAGCCCTCTCTGTGGGCACACACGCCATGCCCCGGAGATGGCAACCGTCCCTCTTCAACCAGCCGCCTGCTAACTCACTGAGGTCTCACATGGCCAGATGCATCCCAGCACCCATGCACTCGCTGGCCTCTGTGTGCGGGAGCCGATGGTGTCAGGCAGCAGCCGCCCTGGTCCTTCTCACCTTGGCCTGTGACAATGGCACTCCCACCTTGCCTCGCCTCACCCCGCAGGACGAGCCTCCTGCACACTGCCCCACCTGCCAGAAAACCCCTGGATCTCCCCCAAACTCTGCCCGCCCCCCCCCAGGCATCCCTCCCCATGAGCAACATCAAGGTGATCACGCCCACCATGGCCACACCTACCCAATCTGCCATGACCACCACAGCCACACCCACCCAGTGGGCCATGCCCACCTGGCACCCGGCAATAAATAAGTGGGTTTTGGGTTGCAGTTTGGCACTCGGTCTCTAAAAGGTTCGCCCTCACTGGCCTAATATAAAATCCTAACCACTGGTATGTTATACCCAGATGTTATAAGATAGACAAGAAGCACAGTATTTTTTATAATACATGAAATATGAAAATATTGGGAGGGTGTACCCAAATGGAAAAATTTGGATATCCAGATGATTAACATTGAGAAAATCACGACTGATAAGAATGGATTGAATAAAAGGGAAAATTAAGCTTAAACAAAAATCACAAAAATAGGATGCATGGTGAACTAATGAGATGATGGTTATAAGAATAATATAAGCTGATTTAAAAAATGTTATACATAGACATTATCACTTTCTATAAATATGAAAAAATGTCTATATTTAATAATTTATATATTGAAAATATTAAGAACTATATTTGTTTAAGGTTGAAGAAGGAGAATACAAATGGGAGAAGGGAAGATCAAAGAAATATATTATTAATTAATATACTAATTATGGAATTATCAAATTTAATCATTATTGACTGCTAATTAATTATTATTGCCTTTTTTCATATGGATTAGTTTGGTTACCTTGACCTGAAAAGTTTGACTCGTGATCATTTTCAATGCTAAACTGGACTTCTGATACGGCCTCCTCTAAGTGTGGAACCTCTATTCTCCCCTTTTAAAAAGCCCCTGGGGCAAAATTGCTCCGATTGCTCTTCTACGCTTTGTCTAAGATCTATATTCACTGTTTCTATGCTCCTCCTATGATGGGTAAAGGAACAACATTACTGTTGAAGGAAAAGTCTTCATTGTGGTTCAGTCCAAGCCAGGAATAAACAACATGACAACTGCTTTAGAAAGAAGGTTGCAGTTTATTGAAGAGGAGAGCCAGACAGAAAGATGGCTCTGGAAGAAAAGAGAGAGAGCACATGTAGGGAGTGGTTTTTTTATACCCTCTGGGGCTTTTGTTTGGAGTTGTTTCCTGTTCCTGTTTGAGGCTTTGTATTTCCTTTGTCAGGTACTTTTGACCTGAGTCTGAGTGTGCCCCTTTGGCATCTGTGGGTTAATCCTATTATGTCCTGTTTTAGAGTTTGGGTGGGGTATGTAGATTTTAGGTGTCTTTGTCTTCTTAATCTTCTAGCTTCAACCTTTCTGAGTGGTTTACATCTGCATTTCTACAGAGCTGGTTTCTGCTTGGGGGAGGGAGACTTGGGGATATTAAGAAAAAACTGGGCATGCTTTTCTGCCTCTTTAAGATCCTTTGAGGAAATATATTTTTCTGCCCTTTTAATATTTCCTTCTCTGGGGGGGGGGGTGACTTCCCACACTACCATCCCAGGAAATAACATTTTCCAGCTGTGATCCAGCATTATAATTGTTTAATCTTCCTGTGTCTCTTGTAATTGACATTGTTACACTAAAGGATTGTTTTGGCCCAATAATTTAGTCTTAGCCTTTTGCTTAATGGCTGGGCCAAATATAGTAGGGTAATCAGATCAGGGATCAAATCTGTTGCTGAATTAGAACTCCCAACATTCCTCAATCTTGGCCATGCCAACTGACCTGCTGAGAGTTTATTTATTTGTTCAATTTATATACCCTTCCATCTCTGGGCAGGTCACACAATTAAGAATAGCCAACAAACCCAAAACAGATGCAAATAAGTAACCCAAAACAATAACAAAAACCATTAAAAGCAAATTAAAGCTAATAATATTGATCCAACAACAATGGTAAAGTGATAGATTCCTTATTTTTGTATACTGGAACTTTTAAGCTGATATGATATTATTGAAAATGCTAAGAGCTTATGAAGATCCATGTGTAATTATTTTGTACAATAAGTATTCAACTTTTAAAGAGAGGTGTACTAACAAAAAAAATGAAGCAATGAAGGTTATTCCCGCTGATGATAGTATACTACTACTACTACTACTACTACTACTACTACTACTACTAGTACTACTACTACTACTACTACTACTAATAATAATAATAATAATAATAATAATAATAATAATAATAAAGTTGGAAGGGACCTTGGAGGTCATCTAGTCCAATCCCCTGCTCAGGCAGGAAACCCTATAGCATTTCAGACAAATGGCTGTCCAGTCTCTTCTTAAAAACCTCCAGTGTTGGAGGCAGGTTGTTCCACTGGTTAATTGTTCTAACGGTCAGGAAGTTTCTCCTTAGTTCTAGGTTGCTTCTCTCCTTGATTAGTTTCCATCCGTTGCTTCTTGTCCTGCCTTCAGGCGCCTCAGAAAATAGCTCGACTCCCTCTTCTTTGTGGCAGCCCCTGAGATATTGGAATACTGCTATCATCTCCCCCCTCCTCCTTCTCTTTGTTAAACTAGACATACCCAATTCCAGCAGCTGTTCCTTATATCAGTTGTGGCCAACCTATAGCACATGTGCAGAGGCGGCACTCAGAGCCCTCTCTGTGGGCACTTCTCTGAACTGCTGGTGGCGGGCTGCGGAACCCCAGAGTGTGCCGATCGAGGGGCCGGCAGGCTGTGGCTACTGATGGAACTGTTGGCCCCACGCGCTCGCTGGTCTCTGTGTGCGGGGGTCGATGGTGTCAGGCAGCAGCTGCCCCGGCCCCTGCCTTGCCTTGCCTTGCCCTGAGATAATGGCACCCCCACCCTGCCTTGCCTCACTCCACAGGATGAGCCTCCTACCCACACCCCACCTGCCAGAGATACCCCCTGGATCTCCCCAACCCTACCCGGCCCCCACAGGCGTCCCTCCCCATGAGTATCATCGAGGTGACCAGGCCCATCTTGGCCACACCCACCCAGTCTGCCATGACCACCATAGCCACGCCCACCTGGCACCCAGCAATAAATAAGTGGGTTTTGGATTGCAGTTTGGGCACTCGGTCTCTAAAAGGTTTGTCATCACTGCCTTATATGCTTTGGCCTCCAGTCCCCTAATCATCTTTGTTGCTCTTCTCTGTACTCTTTCTAGAGTCTCAACATCTTTTTTATATCGTGGTGACCAAAACTGGATGCAGTATTCCAAGTGTGGCCTTACTAAGGCATTGTAAAGTGGTATTAATACTTCACGTGATCTTGATTCTATCCCTCTGTTAATGCAGCCCAGCACTGTGTTGGCCTTTTTGGCAGCTGCAGCACACTGCTGGCTCATATTTAGGTGATTGTCCACTAGGACTCCGAGGTCCCTCTCACAGTTACTACTATTGAGCAAGATACCCCCTATACTATGCCTGTACATTTGGTTTTTCTTGCCTAAATGTAGAACCTTACTTTTTTCACCATTGAATTTCATTTTATGGTATATAGTAGTATTTCCCAGTCATGGAATTTCCAAGAGTGTGGACTTCAACTCTCAGAATTCTCATCACAAGCTATATTGGCTGTGGAATTCTGGATATGAAATTTAGACACCTGGAACTTGCAGGTGGTATTATAGCAAATCATTGGGTAGACACTACTGTCCCCTTATGATGAGACCAGGACCCACAAACCTGGTTTTTTTTAATGCTGATTTTTTAAAAAC